GGTCTACAAATGTCTAGTAAAAACATGAGAAGATGCTCAGTATCACTAATCACTGGAGAAACGCAAATCAAAACCACAATGATACCACCTCATATCCATTAGGATGGCTACTATCAAAAAAAACAAAAATAACAAGTGTTGGCAAGAATGTGGCGAACTTGGAACTGTTGTGTGCCACTGGTGGGAACATGAAACGGTGCAGTCGCTGTGGAGAACAGTACTGCAGGTTTTCAAAATATTGAAAATAGAACTACTGCGTGATCCAGCAACTCCACTTCCGGGTCTGCACCCACAAGCACTGAAAGCAGGGTCTTGAAGAGAGATTTGCACACCCATGTTCACAAGAGCCGGGAGGTGGAAGAGACCCAAGTGTCCAGTGACAGATGGACTGATGAACAACACAGGGCCTGTCTATACCATGGGATTCCGTTCAGTCTTAAAAACGGAGGACATTCTGACACACGCTCCAACATGCATGAGCCCTGAGGACATCATGCTGAGTGAAATAAGCCAGTCACAGAAGGACACACACTGTGTGGCTCCACTGAATGAGGTCCCTGGAGTCGTCAAATCCAAAGAGACAGACAGTAGAATGGTGGATGCTGGGGGGAGGGGGCAGGGAGTTAACATCTGATAGGGGGGGGGAGTTTTAATTTGGGAAGACAAGAAGGTTCTGGAGACGCACGTGGTGATGGCTGCACAGCACTGTGAATGTTCTTAATGCCACTGAACTGTGCACTTAAAAATGGTTAAGGTGGTGAATTTTACGCTATGCTTTTTTTCACCACGATTAAAAACAAAAAAACCTTCAAAACACTTGAGAAACTCCCTCCTAGCAGAGGGTCCCAGTGCCCAGAGATAGTGGGGTTTCTGGGGGGACCATGTGGGCAGCATTGTGGTGTGGGAGACCCGGGCTCTGGCTTGCTCTTGCCGCTGACCACTGTGCAAGGTCGTAAAATGCAGGGCAGGACTGCAGGGCCCTCGGGCTCTCTGGTTTGAGGCTGTGCTGGTCTGAGAAGGAAGCTGAGGTCAGGACTCTACGGAGAAAGCAGATGCCCAGGTGTCCTGGCAGCCACGGGGTCACCCTTGGAAGCTCTCTGCCCAGTCAGCTCTGGCTGGCGGGGACTGAGGCCAGCAGTGGTTTTTGTTGCCACAAGAGGTGGTGCAGGGCAGGCAGCATGGAGTGTTGGCATTTTGAGGAAACTTCTCGTGAATGGGAAGCAGCAAGTGTGAGCGTCCCCTGCTGGAGCAGCCATCGNGGTCTACAAATGTCTAGTAAAAACATGAGAAGATGCTCAGTATCACTAATCACTGGAGAAATGCAAATCAAAACCATAATGATACCACCTCATATCCATTAGGATGGCTACTATCAAAAAAACCAAAAATAACAAGTGTTGGCAAGAATGTGGAGAACTTGGAACTGTTGTGTGCCACTGGTGGGAACTGTTGTGTGCCACTGGTGCCACAGTCGCTGTGGAGAACAGTACTGCAGGTTTTCAAAATATTGAAAATAGAACTACTGCGTGATCCAGCAACTCCACTTCCGGGTCTGCACCCACAAGCATTGAAAGCAGGGTCTTGAAGAGAGATTTGCACATCCATGTTCACAAGAGCCGGGAGGTGGAAGAGACCCAAGTGTCCAGTGACAGATGGACTGATGAACAACACAGGGCCTGTGTATACGATGGGATACCGTTCAGTCTTAAAAACGGAGGACATTCTGACACACGCTCCAACACACGCACTGTAGCAGTGCGCCACCGGGCCGGCCCACTGTGAATGTTCTTAATGCCACTGAACTGTGCACTTAAAAATGGTTAAGGTGGTGAATTTTATGCTATGTTTATTTTACCACGATTAAAAACAAAAAAACCTTCAAAAACACTTGAGAAACTCCCTCCTAGCAGAGGGTCCCAGTGCCCAGAGATAGTGGGGTTTCTGGGGGGGACCACGTGGGCAGCATTGTGGTGTGGGAGACCCGGGCTCTGCCTTGCTCTTGCCGCTGACCACTGTGCAAGGTCGTAAAATGCAGGGCAGGACTGCAGGGCCCTCGGGCTCTCTGGTTTGAGGCTGTGCTGGTCTGAGAAGGAAGCTGAGGTCAGGACTCTACGGAGAAAGCAGATGCCCAGGTGTCCTGGCAGCCAGGGGGTCACCCTTGGCGGGGTCACCCTTGGAAGCTCTCTGCCCAGTCAGCTCTGGCTGGCGGGGACTGAGGCCAGCAGTGGTTTTTGTTGCCACAAGAGGTGGTGCAGGGCAGGCAGCATGGAGTGTTGGCATTTTGAGGAAACTTCTCGTGAATGGGAAGCAGCAAGTGTGAGCGTCCCCTGCTGGAGCAGCCATCGGTGAAGAGCCAACCCGAAGGGCCCATTGAGGTTCTTGGCCTGGGGCGTGGACAGCAGGGTTGCCTGGTAGGAGGTGGGCATCCGTCCCAGGCAGACTAGAGCTGGGACAAGGGCAGGAAGGGTCCCCTGGGGTGTGGCTTTTCTCTGCCTCCGCTCCCATCCCCCTCACCCTCTTTGTTGGGCCCTTCAGTCCCAGGAAGACTGGGCTGCAGCCCCACCCCACGGGGACATGGAGGAAGATCGGTTCTTCATGATGCCACACAGAACTCGTTCTTGCTTGGAAGGCCCTGGCAGTGAGCTGGGTCTCCGGGAAAGTTGGTGCTGGGCCCAGGTCCTCGTGGGGCAGATGTTACAGTGGCCACCCTGTATGGTGCTGGCCCAGGTCAGGGCCCCGAGCCCCTGCTGCCTC